AAAATACAGTAAAATTTCATGTGATTTGTAATAATAATTGTGCATTTGTAATTGATTTTTTGATTCCGGTTTTTTTTTTGTCCCACACTGTACATATCAGAGTAAATTAATTTACAGAAAACATAAAAAATCCCAGCCCTCAAAAGAATACCATTTCTGGAGTATTACCCTATAAAGCTCCTGAATTATTAAGTGGGAATTGGGAGAATTAACAAAGGCTGCTGATGTTTATTCATTTGCATTTGTTGCTTATGAATTAATTACTGGAATTTCCCCATATCATGACGTGTCGCATGATAAAGAATTGGATTTTAAAATATGCAATGGATTTCGACCAAAAATTCCATTTCACACATCCAAATTAATTACACAAATAATCATGCGATGTTGGGATGCGAGAATTACACATTGACCCACTTTTGATGAATTATATAAAGAGTTGCTTAAATACGTGAGTAATTATTATACCAAAAACAGCGAAATTGCAATTCAAATTAAAGAAGCTGAAGAATTTTCCAACTGATACAACAATTACAATTCCAAAAAATTATAAAACACATCCGCAAACAATTCATACCGGTAGACTTATCAATGTTTCAAACAAAACCTAAAAGTGATGAGAATTTTGAAGAATTAACAAAATCTTTTTATCAAATAAATCTAGTAAATATCAATTCTAATTTACATTACATTCATTTTTCATTTCATATTAATTATATTTAATTTTCAATTTATTTTTTATTTTTTTTCAATTAGGTGACGAATGGCGATGACGATGATGATGACGACGATGACGATAACGATGACGATAACGATGACGATGACGATAACGATAACGATGACGATGACGATGACGATGATGATCTAATTTATATATTTTTTATTTGCATTTTATTTATTAAATTTATTAAACTTATTAAATCACAAAGCATTAATTATCGATTTTTTGCTATTATAAATTCTTCACACTAAGTATAGATTTCAAAAGGTTTGAGGTCAAGTGCTTAAAATATAAGTTTTATTATTTAATAGATTTGAAATAAATCAATTATTAATCTTATTTTCTCATTTTTATATATTTTTATAAAATACAATGGATATAAATTAATAATATTAGATAAAAATATATATACAAATATATTTAATAAAAATATTTAAATTATGCTTCGAATTTGGAACTCAGAGAAAAATGATTTTAAAAAGTATTTTAAATAAAAAAAATGATTGATATTTTTATTTAATTTTATATTTCGTCTATTTTCTATGAATGATGTGAATAATAACCAATAATAATTTATTTTCTCAGATATCACCTATGTGAAATAAAGTATCGAAAAACGACAATAATTAAGAACTCATTTTGCTGAAGTTAATAAATAGTAGGGGGTTAAACTGGGTCTAAGTGGATATTTTTGTCTAAGATTTGTTTCGGGACATTGTCACGGGAATTATTAGATCAAGGAAGAGGACAAAGAAGAGAGCAAGGGTGAAGCAAGTGTCGTAAACTTTTCTTTAATTTAAGATGTTCAATAATAATCATAGGTGGAACTAGACGCAATTTATTAAGTAATTCTTAGTAATTAAATTACCTAAATGTCGAATATCTTTTTTGATTGGTTCATTATACATCGGAGGATTCATGCATCTTTCATATTATTGTCAGATTCATATTATGATTCGGTATCAATGTTTCTGGTTTTCGAGAAAAGGAACATAAGGAGTAAATCTTGAATTTTTGTTGCTCCGAAAGTTTACGAAAAAAAAACATTATTACTTATTAAAAAATTATTATTTTAATCATTATTTTAAACTTTCCACTTGAACAAATTCTAAATTTTGAGCTTGGTCTATACAACAATATCTTTATAAATAATTAAATAATTATAAATTAATATTAATATAACACGCTTTGCTTATCAAAAAAAATCGATGTTACACGTTACATAATGTTATCCCTTAAACGGTAGTGACGTCACAAGTTACTAATAAATGCGGACAAATTTGCTCGCAATTCAACATGATTTACCGTTTAAGGGATACTGTCAAACCTATACATACATCCGATAATTTATAGATATTTTTTAAAAAAAAAGAAAACTTCTATCTACCTTACATAACAGAAAATGTTTATATGCCAGAATGCAATCAAGAATATAATGGTTATTGTTGCAAACCGTGCAACTCGACACGTTTTAAAAATGATTTTGATAAATGGACAAGTGGAAATGCCACAATAGATAAATTTATTCAAGATGCTCAACTAAATGCTGATGATGATTTATTATGCTATGTGGATTGATGGATGTATTCGTGGTTGGAATATTGAATATCAACAATGGAAAATATACGGAAGACTTGAAGTGGTATTAAAAAAGTTTGATGGTATTGTAGATATAAATGAAGATTTTTTAAATGAGGTAAAGTAATATTTTATATTAATAATTAATATGCAAGTTTATTTAAAAATATATCTTATATCAATTATAATTTAAAAAACATGTTATTTAGATGGTAATTTTCTTGAGAACAAGTGACGGAGCGACATCAACTAGACTTTATGGAATTACAAAAGATCCAAAAACTCATAAATTTATGATGGTTTTAGAATAATTTGAAGGCGGAAGTCTTAGAAATTGATTTTAATAATGTCTATTGGAGTAATAAATTATCATATTTAAGAAGTTTAGCTAATTATTTTACAAAAATTAATAAATTAGATATAGTTCATCGTGATTTCCATCCAGGAAATATTTTAAAAGTCGTTTGGATTCTAATATTACATATATATATCAGATTTTGGATTGAGTAAATTAATTACAGAAAACATAAAAAATCCCATCCCTCAGGAGAATACCATTTCTGGAGTATTACCCTATATAGCTCTTGAAGTATTAAGTGGGGGAGAATATACAAAGGCCGCTGATGTTTATTCATTTGCATTTGTTGCTTATGAATTAATTACTGGAATTGTTCCATAGCACAATGTGTCGCATGATAAAGATTTGGCATTTAAAATATGTAATGGATTTCGACCAAAAATTCCATTTCATACACCTAAATTAATTACACAAATAATTATGAGATGTTGGGATGCGAGAATTACACATCGACCTACTTTCGATGGATTATATAAAGAGTTGCATAAATACTATGATGATCATGGTGAAAATACTCTATGTTTGAAAATAATAATGAAATTATAATTCAAATTAAAGAAGCTGAAGAATTTTCCAAAAATCAAACAACTGATACAACTACAACTCCAATGAATTATAGAACACATCCACAAGCAATTTACACCAGTCGACTTCTCAATTTTTCAAATCTTCCAAAACCTAAAAATGATGAAAATTTTGAAAAAAAACTTGAAGAATTAACAAAATCTTTCTATCAAATAAATTCTAGTAAGTATCAATTTTATTTTATATTATATTCATTTATCATTTCATAATTAATTATTTATACCTAATTTATTGATTTTTTGTTTTTTAATCAGGTGATGATGAGGATACATCTAATTTATAAATTTTATATTATTTAATGTTATTTGTATTTACTTATTAAATTTATTAAATTACAAAGCATTATTTATTAATTTCTTTGCTATTATAAAATCTTCACACTAAGTATAAAGTATTGAAATTATTATGTGAATTTAAATAACATAGTTTGTAATTAATATTTTTATTAAATAAAATAACCTATTTTTATATATAAATTATAATTAATGATTAATTGTATTGAATTGTAAAACACCAATTTAATTAACATTTTAAAAATAATTGATTAAGCATCGTATCATACAAATGGTGGAATAAAATAATGTTAGAGAAAATATTCTTTTTATCCATAATTGACACAACCTCATTTTAATGTTTCGCATGATGACATGAAATACTAAATACGTATATGTTTAATAAAATGTATTCAAGAATTTAAATTTTCTCAAATATAAAATAGAAATATTTGTAAACATTTCCAACGAATTTTCACTATAAAGATGATTAAGAAAAATATTAGAATTAGCTATTATAATAATTCAAATATCCTAAATAAATATTATTATTAAACTTACATAATTATTATATTCTTATCTATTTTATATAACATTATTGATACTATTAATTCATAATAATTGTCCTCGATATTAGCATTTTCGTTATAATCATATAAAATTCATCTATTATTTATATTCATCATTCATATCAAAGAATAATCACTAGCCAAATAGTGATTTTATTATATTACAATTTATCATTATTTTTGCTATTACTAGAATAATTAGGTGAGGAATATATGAGGTGATGCATTTGTCTTAATTTTGTTAACCTTTTAAGATATTCGTAGGCGGAACTAGATGCAATATATTAATAATTAATTTCTTAAATGTTGAATATCTTTTTTGATTGGTTCAATGTATTCAGAGGATTCATGTATCTTTCATATTATTGACAGATTCGTAAAGTGATATGTATTCTTCGGTATCAAGGGTTTCTGGTGTTCGGGAAAAGAAACATAAGAAGTAAATCTTGAATTTTTGTTGCTTAGAAAATTTATGTGGTTGCCGAAAAGAAACGTTATTATTTATTAAATAATTCTTATTTTAATTCAATAATTAATATTTTAAACTTTTTACGAGCAAATTCTAAAATTTGAGCTCGGTTTATACAACAACCTCTTTATTATATAAATAATTAAATTAAATTAATAAATTGAAAAGATTAATGATATTCATGTGATTACAGCATTTATTTAATTAGATAAGGGAATTATTATGAATTCAATTTACGCGTACAGAAGGATTTTATATTATAAATATAATATAATATATAAGTAGAAAAATCTAACAATTTAATCATAATAAACTTTGAAAACTACTATTACTAAAATTTAATTGATCCCATCCATCATTATCATCGTCTTCACTTTCTTCTCCAAGATCTTCATCATTTTCTTCTTCAAGATCATCTTCATGAGAATTCATATCATGATAAATAAATTCTTCATCTTTATTATCGTCATTATCATCACCTTGATCATTATCATCTCCAAAAGATCTTAAAATTCGCATTAAATGTTGATACATTTTTGTCATTTCATTATCATCAATTTTTGCCACATATTGAAGATAATTTATAAATTCATCTTCATTTTCATCATCATCTTCTCCATCATCTTCGTTGTTACTATTATTTAAAACCACTGGTACTCTTCGTTCTCGTCGTCTCAAGTTATAAATATCCTCCTTCATAAATTCCGTTGAATTTGAAGCATATAATTTATGTAAATTTTCTTGATCGTCTGAAAGGGAAATAAAACCAAGGATAGAAGCGGAATTTCCATATTTTGATACCAAAGTTTCCTCAACTATTAATATGCTAACTAATGCGTCATCAATACTTCCGACACTGCGAAGACATAACTTTTTTTATATTCAAGAAATATAAATATACGAAATATTCAAATTTATTATACATCTTAATATACTCTATTAATTTTTAGCTGTAATATCATTTTTACCTTAGAATGACAACTTGCCAAACGTAATAAAGTCTATAATCAATATAATAAATGAATAAATAAATAGTATATCTTTTATATTATTCTAAATAAATAAACGAAATTAGTTGAACAAATCGAATAAATCATAAAAAAAAAAATACCTCAAGCAATGCAGTTGATGAAGCAAATCCTTGACTGGCTCCTTTAAATTTACGAGTTATTAAAAAATATTTACGTAGTAGATCTTTGCATTCTGTTGATAATCTTAATACACGTATAATTAATTATTATTTTTAAATAGTAATAATTTTTGCGCGTAAAAAAAAAAAAAACAAAGAGTGACTTTACTTGACTTCGATATTGCTCGCTATAGAAATAAACTTGATTCATATACGTATATGTTGTAATTTTATATATATTAATAAAAAAAATATTTATTTTAGAAAGAAATTATAATTTATTAAAAATTTTTACCTTCTTCAATTCATCAAATGATAAACTAAATTTGGATGATTTGTGTTGTTGTTTCTTTGGCAGCGACAGAATTACATTATCAAGTAAATGATCTAACAAAAAACCATCAGCTTTAGAATCTATGGTTTCTTTCAAATGAACTATAAGATCAAATGTATCAATAATTGATCTAATTGGACCATTATTATTATAGAAAATGGTTTCATCTCCCTCAGATTTTCTATTAGAATTATTACTATTATTATTATTATTATTATTAGTTTTTTTAGGCTTTGCGACGGACCATCCCCAACAGCATGTATTCACATCAATGTTTAATTTATGATGTCGATTTTGCATCGTCAAGTTTGAACTTTTACTCATTACTTTTTATATAAGAAATAAATATCGATCAGTAATTCATATATCTGGTATGATACATATATCATTAATAATAATACAATAATAATAATTCATTACCTAGTCGTAATGATTCTACATCTCTTTTACTTAACGAATCTAAATCAACCAAAAGAATTCCATTTCTTGAATTTGCAAGAATAGTAGCTATAATAATAATAATAATAATAATAATAATAATAATAATAATAATAATAATAATAATAATAATAATAATAATAATA